CACTTAGATTTCAGAACCGGGTTTTCAGATCCCTCTCTGGGGCAGGTTCTTGAGGCTGGAAGGATGTCAGCACATCCTCCAAGAGGATGCTTATCTCCCCAATTTTGTTTTGCAGGACAGTTACCTTGGCGATGAGTTTAAGTCACAGATTGATGTGGCACTGTCGCAAGACTCCACGTACCAAGGGGAGCGGGCATACCAGCACGGCGGAGTGACAGGGCTGTCCCAGTACTAGAAGGCAAGCTGACCCCTGTAGGAGGTCTTTATCGGGATCTGGACATGATGGGAAATCAGGGAAACGTGTGGTAGGGGTCTCAGGTCCCCAGGAGGCCAGCTTGTCCTGTGCGGGTCATTTTGGCCGCCTGTGCATCTGCTTGTAGTGGCCAGGGAATAGGGGCTTCATCCCAGCTCCCTGCATGGTGGTCCTTTCCTGAGTCCTGGAACTCCGTGAGGAAGGGGTGGATGTGGGATTCCTGGCCACAGCCACATGGGGCACCTCTGCACAAGGGGCTTCAGGGTGCCATTAAGACCCTGACATAGGGTTACCCTGAATGTGGTGTGACCAGAGCTGGGTAAACGCGGGCCCGGGTCCTCTACCCGTGTGTGTGCCGGGTGAGTGGGGTGGTTGGCTTCCTTCTCTTTGGGTGGGGAGTCACTAGTCTGGGCGTCCGGCCAGCCTCTGAGGTCCCGTTTCACAGGCACACAGTGGAGTGGGGGGAGGAGCCCTGCACCTGCGGGGACCCCCCCACCCTGAGCTGCTCTGATGGCCCCTTGCCCTCCTCCCTCCCTGCAGGTGGCAGCGGAAGAGCTAAGCTATGTGGCTTAGTCCATCAGCATCTTATTCTGGGTAATAAAAAATAAAAATAAATGGATACCTGTTTTCCACTGCTAAAACTGAAGCACCACTGTGAGCAACAGGAGAGGGAGAGGAGCACCCGAGGGAGAGAGGAGCCCGAGACAGAGCGAGCGCCCACTGCTGGCCCGCGGCGGCGAGGAGAAGGAGAAGGGAGAACGGGAGGCAGGCGGCCGCGGAGGACCGCCCGCCAGCGAGCCCTGCCAGCCCCGCTCGCCAAGGAGGCCCAGCGCTCGCCGCGTCCACACCTGGGTCTGCGACCAGGGCGGAGGGAGGAAGACCCTCATCTCAGAGTAGCCCTTTCCTCTGTTCTTTTCTTTCTGTTTCTCTTTTATTGAAAGGGGACTACGTTTTAGCAGGAAAAACTTCGCATTTCTGTGCCGAGCAGGCTCCTTGCCGGGGCGGCCGTGCCGGGAGATCCCCGCGGAGGTGTGGGTTCTGTCCCCGCCAGCTCTGAAACTGCCCTGGTCACGCTGCCTGTGTTCTAAGAGGGTTTCATTTAAAGAAAACACGGTGTTTTGGGTTTTTCTGTTTGTTTTTTAAAGATTCTTTCAAAGGAGTACTGAAAAATATACTTTCCTGAGTTTGTCTCTCAAATCTTAGTGGTGGACCTGGGAGATGCGAGAAGCTTCCAGAAACGAAGTTTAAACAAGGCAACACATCTCAAGATTAGGATCAACACCTGTGACGGGATCGTGAGGAGAATTTTTGTTTTCAAATTTAGCTTCCAGCGGCTTCTCCCTGCACGTCAGGGCAGTGAGAGAGCAGTCTCGTCCCGGGCCAGGCAGCCCCGGTCTCCGCTGGACTCTGAGAAGCAACGTGCTTCCCACGCGCCGCGGACTCGTGCCCCACCCACCCTGGGCCGGGCCTTGGGCAGGACTGGCCAGGAGGCCAGAGGGTGGGGAGGTGGCCGTTCCCTGACCAGTGGCTTCTTCCCCGGGGGTCCTTCCTGAGGATTTGGTGGAAGACAGCAGCCAAGAGGACCCGTCCCCCGGGAGGCACCCACAGTCCCTGTGGCTGGTCGGACACGCCGAGCGCCCCACCTACCTTGTTCTCTACCCCACCCTCCAAGTTGGGAGACCTTCTACCTGTGGGTACAGCTGTGATGGGGTGGGGTGATTTCTGCTTTTTTTTGGAAAAGGAGTAAGTTTCAGAAAAAAGTTGGTTCTATGCCGAAGGGGCTTGGAGCAGGTTGTCACCTCAGCTGGTAGGGGGCTCTGTGGGGTCTGGGCCGGGCCTCAAGGAGCTGCTGTTGCTGGGAGAGCCACCCCCAGCTCCTTGCACCCCATGGTGGGATAGTAGTCTCCCTGACAACCACCTCTTTGGGGACCATCCCCTGCCTACCTAGGCCCTGGTGACTCTACACCGCCCCCCCCCCCCCTTCCAGCTTCCCCATCCCTGTGAGGCTGACACTGGCCCTTATCGAAGCCTCCAGATTCCAGCTTGTACTTGGGAGACGGGGACACACAGGCCACCTTCCTTCTGGCAAGGCCTCTTATTTATTACCATTGCTGTAGGGCTTTCGGTTTCCCCCTTCTTTTGATAGGCCACATAGAGGCATAGAGTTTGGATAGGTTTCCGCTATGACCCCTTGTGCGACACACCCCGTGGGTGACACCTGTGCCCGCCCACCTGCCCTGTTCTGTCCTTGGCATGCTTTGCCTCCGCTTTGTGCTGTTTGCTTTGTTCTCCACCTTCATAGCAGCAGTTCAGTTTTCCAGACTGAGGAGCATCTGTACCAAGGCAATGTAACTTTTGATTTCTGGTCAATTTGTTTTAAGCTCTATTGTCACCAATAAAATCTTAATAAACAGCTTTTGTGTTCACACCGGGGCAGATGAACTGCAGGGAGATAGCAGAGCACTTGGCCTGGGGACCTGACTGGTTGGGAGCCTTGGGGTCACCTGGACGGCAAAGCTGAGAATGACCAGATCTGTGCAGCAGGGCCGTTGGGCGGGGGTGACCTTGGCCCCTACAACTGGCAGCACGTGGGCTCTTGGGCGGGTTAGTTGATGGGCTACCTGGGGATGGGGATTTGGGACCCCAGCCCTGGCAGAGCTGGGCAGGTGGGGTCACTGTGGGTCACTGTCCCACCACCCTGGCGATGGGTGATTGGTGGAGGTGGCTGCTTCCTCTCCCACCCCCACGTAACCAGATCAGACGGGGAGCGGACCACGCAGTATTTATTGTTTGGGACCCCCTCTGGCTCCGTCAGCGGCAGCCACACTCGTCCACCACCATGTCCTCGTAGTGCCGCAGTACCACGTTGTCGCTGTTGTCGAAGAAGAGCACGGAGATGGGCGACAGGCGCGCAGGCACGCAGCAGGGCAGGCCGCCGGCGCCGGGGGCAGCCGCGTGCATGAGTGCGCGCAGCACGGCGTGGTTGAGCGGGGGCGACCCGCCGGGGCCCGACAGCGTGGCGGGCAGTGCGCACTGGCCCTGGCAGTAGTTGGCCAGGAAGCCGCGCGGCGCAATGACCCAGCGGTGCCAGCCCACCTCGCGGAAGCTCACGTAGAGCCGCCTCGTGCGACATGCGCCCCCGGGGCTGCCGCTCACTGCGGGCTCAGCTTCGCGCCGCGGCCGGGCCAGTGGGTGGCACAGGCGCGGGTCGAGGGTCACCAGCAGCAGCGAGGCCTCGGCCAGGTGCGCGCAGGCGGCGGGGGCCCGGGGACGCAGCGCCACTGCCAGGCGAACGCTGCGCGGCGCCGACGTGTTGCGGGACCAGGCGGCGCCCAGCAGCTCGGCGCGCACCGGCGTTCCCAGGGTGTGCACCGCCTGACGGAGCAGCACCGGCCCGGCGCCCGCGCCCTGGCCTTCGGCCGCCTGCCTTATGCTCAGCTCCCAGCCGGCCGGCGCCTCAACCGCCGCAAAGCGCAACTCCAGGCGGGCTCGGCTCGGGCGCTCTGCAGGTTCCACGGCGGACAGATCGAAGACGACGGTCCACTCAGGGCACTGCCCCGCGGCCCAGGCGGGCTCCGGGAGCCGAGTGGGAGCACCTGGGGAGGCAGGGAGAGGGCTGGGCTCGCGCTGCGCCCCCGCGCCCTGCCTGGCCTGCCCGCGAGGGGGTTTCTGCTGCGGACCGGGAAAGGTGAGTCCCCGGGGCTGGGGGCGCCAACTGTTAGAAGGCGTGAAACGGTGTGAAGTGGCGCGCGGGAGGCGGGGGCGGGGAGTGGGGGGCAGGGCATCAATTGCAAGTAAGAGGAGGCCCGGCCCGGGTGCAGGGCGGCCTGCCCGCGGGACCCAGGCAGGGCGAGAGATGAACGGATGCCTGGGGCCCCTGGGGAAACGATGCTGGAGAGGTGGTATCTGCAGGAAAGGCATCAAATGGTGTGAAACAGCGGGGGGGGGGGGGGGGGGGGAGGGGCGAGTGGGGGCAGGGCCTCAGCTGCAAGCTAGGAGCCTTGCCCAGTGCAAGGGAGCCTGGCCTTGGGACCATTCCAACCGGTCCCCGCAGATGCCCACGGGGAAGAGGCCATGGAGTGCGGGCGGGTCCAGGTTTCTCATGGGCTGGACGGGGCGGGTGCGAACATTCGGAGGTGCTCTGGCTTCCCCCACGCGGCGCTGGAGGCTCGTGGCGGGGCGCACAGCGGGGTCTCAGCCTCCCCGGCACACGCCCCCCAGCACGGGCCCTACTCACCGCGGTCCGGGATGTGGCGCACGATGTTTCCGGCGACCCCCAGCTCCTCCACGTGGCACGGTCTCAGGGTGGTCTCCTGGGGCATCCGCCGCGGGCCCACCCTGGCCTCCTGGGGGTCCCGGTGGCGGAAGAGGCGCCACATGACGGGGGGTACGGACCGAGGCGTGGGGGCGCCCCGATGCACGTCGGGCAGCCCGAGAGCCTGGAGCAGGGCGGCGGCGGGGCCCGGGGGCGCTGGGGCGCGGGTTGGGGGCAGTGAGGGCAGCAGCACGGTCAGGAGGAGTAAAAGGACGCGGCGGCCAGGACGGTAGCGCGGCGGTGACATTTTCCTCGCTGGCGGCAGCCGGACGAGTGCTCAGGAGCCGCCGGGCACCCTCGACTTGCAGACTGGGGGCGGGGCGGAGATCCCCGGAGGGGCCCGGACGGAGGTCTGGGACTGGGCGGGGTCAGGGTCCCGAGGGAAGTGGCCGCGGTCCTGAAGCCGGACGGGGGTAGACCCCGGGGGCGGGGTCTTGGGGGGTGCGGGGCAGGGGTCCAGAAGGAGGTGACCGGGAGTGGCCAGGGCCCAGGTGGGGCGGAGCTGGACCGAGCCAGAGTCCCGGGGAGGGGCGTGGTCGGTCCCTGTGGAGCGTGGTCGGGCGGGGCTGGGTCCTAAGGGGAGGGACGGTGATCAAGGAATTCAGAAGCGCTTGTCTTTCACCAGGCCGTTCCTCAGCGGCTTCCTGCGGGGGCCAGAACCGGGCCCAGGTTAGCCCCGGGACCCCATGCCCCCGCACACTGCCCTGTCTCGCCAGCATCGCCCTCCACATCCCTTCTTCCGGCCAGGCTGCAGCCCACCGGGGTCCCTCCTCCCTGCCCACATGGCCCCTTCCGCCTAGTGGCCAGGGCGTCCCAGATCCTCCCAATTAAAGCCTCCTCTCTCCTCCCTCCTGAGCTACCCACGACCGCTGGACGGCTTTTGCCCCAATTTAACCCCACCACTTGGGTCTGGATAAACCCTACACTTTATACTCCTCCCCTTCCAGAGAGTGGGCAAAATTGGCCAGAGCTCCCTGACACTCCACCCAGAGTAGGACAAAAGAAAGTCTTCACAGCCCCTATGATTCTCCATCCACTGGTCTCTGTCTACATCTGCCACAGCCCCTACTTTCCTTCCACGTTCTGAAAACAGGTTATGCAGCGTTTTAAAACTCAATCAATATGGTGTCCACCAGAGAAAGGCCCCTAATTTCTAAATCACATATGGCTTGCATATTTCAAACTATAAAGATGTCTTCTGGGGGTGCCTGGGTAGCCCAGTGGGTTAAGCGTCTGCCTTCCGCGCAGGTCATGATCTGAGGGTCCTGGAATCTAGCCCCACGGCGGGCTCCCTGCTCAGCAGGGAGTCTGCTTCGCCCTCCCCGCTCCCTCTCAAATAAAATCTTAAAAAAAAAAAAAAAAAAAAGTCTTCTGCACCCCGATGTTCCAAAAAGTCGACACTGAGATTGCTGCTGTGCGCACCACTGTTCTCCATCGAATCCATTTTCCCTACCTGAATTAGTGGCAGGTCTGGGTTCCGACTCGGGGTCTGCCCAGGACCACCTTACCAGATTCAACGAGGGTTTCCGCCCCTGCTCCTTGGTGCCTTTGCAGTACCTTGCTGTCGCTTACTGGTCATGGCACTGGCTACTGCTGTTCCCACTTCGGGGAGCCCCTCATGCCTTTGCACATTGGTCTGTGTCTTTGCAGAAGTGGGTTCTACGGTCCCGGTTTACGACGTACACATGTATTAAGTTTTTTGAGCTGGTACTATATTCTAATGATCTAGACATCAGAAAGCACAGAGAACTCACAGTTTGCCTGGACCGCTCCTGGAAATCAACCTGGGTTTCCTGGCTCTGGGTAGCATTTCACACACATCTCGCTGGTATCTCACACCGATCCTAACACACCGGGTTGTTACCGTCCCCTGCATCCCCTCGTCTTGAGGAGCACTCTAACTCAGAGGCCATTCCGTATAGGAACCTAGATGACCTCAGTCACTTTAATTCATTCTTCCCTTGGTCTGGAGCCACTGGGTGTCCCTTCCTGGGAGCACGCGTCCCATCCTCTGCCCACTTTCCCAGGGCCTTGCTGCCCTTTCTCTTGCTGCTGATCTGTGAGGTTAGAGATAAGCCCCTAGAGATAAGCGCTCAGGTCTGTCCTTTGTTGTTTCTGCTTGCTGGTTCTCCAGACGGAGCAGAGGTGGGGGCTCGTCTCCTAGCTCCATGGCTAGATGCCACAATCTCCCTTTTCAGCTCTGGTTTCATTTTGCAGCTTCTGCTCCTGCCTCAGGCTGATTTGAGATACACGAGTCTGCGCTTTTCTCCAGATGGTTATTCTGACGGCTCTTCCCTCCCAGTGATATTTAGGACTGGAGCCTATTTCTATTCATGGACTCAGCTCTGTTCCGCACTGTTTTCGTTCCTATACTTTCATAGTAGGTTTAATACATTCAAGGATCCGCACCACACCATGTGACGTTTTATCAGAACTTTCTCGATGATGCTGGTTTATTTTCCTGTACAAGCTTCCAAGCACCCCTCCCTGCTCAAAACCAGTGTTCGTGTTAGCATTTGGCGGGGAGTGGGGGTGTGTGTGGCTTCTCTATGACGTCAGATTTGCGCTTTTCGGTTTCATCGCACCATTGTGGGGGAAAGAGAATCAGAACAAGGGCGGAGACCAGACGGAGATGAAGGCAGGCAGCATCTTGGGAGGACTCTGGCTATTTCCTCAGAACTAAGGAGGACAGGGAGTGAGGGGAGTCCCCAGGGTTTGGCATGATTTCCCTCCACTGAGATGGGCCAGTGTTCCGGACGGGTGGTTTGGGGAGGGAAGGGGGGTGCTGATTCTGGATAGTTCCACAGATGCTGGGAATGTCAAGCAGACCAGGAGATAGAGAATGGCGCATAGAGGAGCACCCTGGAAGTCAGGTGAATTAAATGAAGGGGCTGCAGGAGGGGGAGGCCACGGGGAAGTGGTGGAGGCCTCGGGGCAGGTGGCAGGCAGAGCCGGGTGGCTGCGGAGACCAGCAGCCCCTGAGGCAACAGTGCAGACTTCAGACCCAGGAGCTGGGTCAGTACCTGGGTCAGGAGCTGGGCACAGAAGCCCCTCCACGGGGCTGATGGGGGGGGCGGGGGGGGGGGGGGGGTTGATGGTCCCTGAGGGTGGTCGGCCAGAGGAGCAGGGGCTCTGGGAGGCAGACGGAGTGAGAAGAGAGAAGCAGCTGGAATGAATGGAGCCGGGTGCCCTGAGGAAGGGGGCGGTGCTACTCACTGGCCAGGTCCTGAGTTACTCCACTGCACTCTCCGTTGTCATCTCCTTACTGTTCTCAAACCTTGTTGAATTTTTGTCTACGCAGCCTGCAGGATCCTGGTTCTAGGTCCGGGAGATGTCCCCTGTGGCTGGGTGTGGTCAAGTCTGAGACAGCCTGCGCTTGAAAGGAACGTCTGTTCGCCCTGCTTTTGAGCTGCTCGATGACGAGCGAGGACTACCTCCCGTGGTCCTGTCACATGGAGATTTAGGACTGTATCCCGTGGAATGTTCCAGATCAAGGATTGCATCTGAATTTCTTGTCCTGTCCTTTTATTTGCAATGTTCACGTACCCTGGACTTGGAAGTCTTTTAACCAGTGGAGAGGTGAATTAAAAAAATAAAAATCTCGTGGGGTGCCTGGTGGCTCAGTGGGTTGAGCATCTGACTCTTGGTTTTGGCTCAGGTCATGATCTCAGGGTTGTGGGATCAAGCCCCGTGTGTGTGTGGGGGGGGAGCAGTCCACAGCAGGGAGTCTACATGAGTTTCTCTCCCTCTGCCCCTCCCCCTTGCATGCTCTCTAAATAAATAAATAAATAAATAATTTCTTTAAAACAAAATAAATAACCCAATTTCGGGCGCCTGGGTGGCTCAGTGGGTTAAGCCTCTGCCTTCGGCTCAGGTCATGATTTCAGGGTCCTGGGATCGAGCCCCACATTGGGCTCTCTGCTCAGCCGGGAGCCTGCTTCCTCCCCTCTCTCTGCCTGCCTCTCTGCCTACTTGTGATCTCTGTCAAGTGAATAAATAAAATCTTTAAAAAAAAAAAAAAGCAATCTTGTAACTGTCACGATTATTCCATGTCTCCTTGTTTGGATGTGTAATATTCGAGAGTCTATCCTCTTTGTTTTGCATTCCTTATCCTACGTTTACTAACCTTCACTTTCTGCATTTATTTTTTTTTTGGGGGGGGTGCCTGTCCTGGGTTCCTCTCTACACCCTACTAACATTCCCGGAAGTCCTTAATATAGCCTAAAGGTAATCCCCGCCCTCTTGCAAAGGGCAAAGGCCCCAATCCCATTTCAGCATTTACTACTTCAGTTCTCATTTTTTAAAAGCTCCAATCAGGCATTTAAAGTTTTTTTACCCAGACATGTGTCATTTCTCCTGGTGGTCTCCCTCTTGGGATAGCTTTCCTGTGTTCTGAAACATACCCAATGAGATCTCCGGGCGGTAAACTTTCCTAGTTTTTGTTCCTGTGGGTGTCCTGTCTCTTCATTGTTTTTGTTTGTTTATTTTTAAAGATTTTGTTTTTTTTAAGTAAACTCTACACCCAACGTGGGGCTCGAACATAGGACCCCAAGCTCGAGAGGCCTGTGCTCCACTGACAGAGACAGCCAGGAGCCCTCAGGTAAATGTTTTCAAAATTGTGTATGAAATTCCCAGTTGCTGGTTCCTTCTTTTTGGCATCGGACAGGATAGTTCCCTCCACACTTGTCCAGCGTCCCTCGCTGCTGTGTCATTGTTACATAGCCCCTTTCCTGTGGCTGTTTTGCGTTTCTCGCTGCGACATGTTTGGGGCACAGATGCCTTTTTATTCATCCTCTTTCTGATTTACATCTTTTACGTTGGAAAATTCTCAGCACTGCATCTTCTTGTGTTGTCTCTGCTTCCTATCAGAACTCAGTGAGGCCAGGTTATTCTCAACAATTCCAGCCATCATCGCTTCCACTACAGCCACTGCAATCTGGGTCACTTTGCAGCTTTCCACTTCCTGATTCTCTCTCTAGCGGCATATAAGTGTCTGAGCCTTAACATCCGCAGTGGGTTGAAGGGCGGTCCCCAAAATGGTCTATCCACATCCTCATCTCCGGAACCTGGGCAGGTGACTTGATGAGGAAAAAGGCTCTCCGCAGATGTGATTAAGTGTAGGAATGGGGGCTGGGATCAGACTGGACTTAGGGCGGGCCCTAAATCAGAAGACAAGAGTCCTTGTAAGAGAGAAGAGCTCTGAGAGAAGGTCATGTGAAGACAGAGAATGGGCACTGGAGCGTCACGGCCAGAAGCTAAGGGACACGTGGGGCCCCTGGGCGCTGGAAGAGACGAGGACGTGCTCTCTGCGGGAGATGTCGGAGCGCGCCCGGCCCCGCTGACAATGTTAGACTTCTGGCCTCCGCGACTGTGAGAGACACTTTTCTGGTGTTCTAAGACCCCCTCCAACTCCTGGTACTTTGTTAGGACAGAACCAGCAACGCGCTATGACATCTGATGTCATCTCCGACGGTCTTTCGTGCTTTTGTTTGTTTGTTTGTTTAATAAAACTTTTATTCTAGGGTAATCGTCAGTGGGCAGAGATGTTGTGGAGGCAGGCCGCGTAGCCATGGCATAGCCCTCGCCCAGTTTCCCTGAATGTCACCGTCTCACACCTCCACTGTGTATCTGTCACAACTAGGACACCGAGGCCAGCTACGAACGAAACGTAGACCTTATTTGATTTCACGAGTTTTTCTGCGGACGTCCTTTTGTTTTGGCCCGCCAGCCCATGCCGCATTTAGTCACAGTGTCCTCGTCTCCTCTGATTGGGGACAGTGCCTCAGCGGCCTTGCTTTCCATGACCTGAGGGTCTGGGGGGCGGTCCTGACCACTCTGGCAGCACGCTCCACACTCTCCTTGCTTCTTATCCCGCGTTACACCTGACTGTGCGAACCCTGGCCAGCCTCAGGGAACGGAGTTCTGCAGGTGACCGCCGGGGTTGGGGGGACCACGGCAGTGCATTCCTTGGTCTGCCCTGTCCTTTCTGGGCGGAGTTCACGCTGTCACTCTACTGGACATGCTGGCCAGGTGCCAGTCCCCCCACCCCAGCCCCCACCCCACATTCTGGACGGGCCTTCTCAGGGCAGAGAGATTAGGGAGCCACACCCGGCGGGACTGGTTGGTCTGGACATCTCCACCCGGAGTTCACGGGTCTCCAACAGAGACATCTTTCCAGTGTTCAGTTTGGGACAAGCAGGTGCACCCTTCTCCCACCCACTGCTTTAGCCGTTGCTCTTTCTGGAAACCTCTGAGGGCTGGTCAGACCCCTTGGTGACACCTCACCAATGTCTTCATGGAATTCTCAACTCACGCTCACTGGACATCGGATGATTGAACAGCCCCCAGACTAGATGCCTGATGGCCCCTCCCCACTCCCGGCAGGTGCACACAGCCCTCCCCCTTCCCCCCTCTCAGCCCTGTGCACACAGCCCTACCCCAGCTCAGCCCCAACTTCCATCTCGGGAAATGGCAGCTCGAGCACGAAGTCGTGGATTATCCTCGTTTCTTTTATTTCTCTTTCACCTGAAACAAGTCTGGTGGGTTCTACAGCAGAGTTGGGATCTGACCACACTCGTCCTGGCTACGGCCCCTGTGCCCTAATGCCCTGATGACAGAGATGGCCTCGTGGTGATCAGTCACCTGGGCTGACAGGGCCCTGCGCATCAGCCCCCTGGGGAGACCTCACCTGCTGCCCAACCCTCTCATGTCCGTCATCCCTGCTCACCTGTCTGGTCCCTCTCTGGCTTGGGCGCTGGCTTCTTGGCCTTAGCACCCCCCACCTGTAGGGCCATGCTTGGGGGTGCAAAGTGCTTTCATATATGTGAATTGGCCACAGAGCTCTCCACTCTGGAACCCCCAGTTCTCTCTTCCCCTTCTTATGTATCCCAATAAGATTTTTAAGATCTCTGCTTCTCTCGTCCTCCTCATGGCCCATTCTGACCCACCTGCTTCCCTGAAATCCCCTCTCCCAGCTGGTCACTGATGAGCACCCCCAGAAGTCAAATCACAGGGTTGACTGACTCAGTACCTTGCGAGCAGTAAGCAGCCCCCCACCTTGCTGCGGCTTGCTCCCCATGTTCCCTCTGGAGTGTCATACTCCCTAGACCCTGCTGGTCACCCAAACCTGCCTCCATTCACTCCTGGGGCCCCCTCTAGGCTGAGAGCATTGGACACTATCTGGCTTTCACCCTGGGGCCGGCGAGTCCTGGGGGTCCTACCTCTGTGATGCTCGATGAGGACTGTTTCCCCTCCTTCCCTAGGACTCCCGCCTGGGCCGGACCGGGTCTGAGCCCCAAGCCCCCTCTCCTGCCTGACTGACCAGCAGGCTGCCCTGCTGGACCTCAAGGCCAGGGAGTGTCAGCATGGACCGAGCATGGGGTCTCCGGGCCACCATAGCCCCCCTTCCTCCCCACCTCCACTGCCACCTGCTTAGAGGCTCCCCTGTGGCCTGGATCACGGCTGCTCACCCACTGGGCCAGTGACCCAGTCTGGCCCTCATGCTCCTACCACCAACACCCAATTCTCTGCTCCTGTCAACCTGCCCCAGCCCCAGGCTGCTCTACCCACTTCCTGTCTGGCCTGACGGCATCTAACTCTGTCGCTAAGCTTCCGTGCCTTTATTGCAGTCTCTGTGGGATGTAGGCTCCAGGGGCAGAGTCCACGGTGGCATCATTCACTGCCTCGTCTCCAGGGCAGGCCCCCAGAGCGCACGCGGCCGGACAGACGTGGCTAAAGGAATGAACTGGGGCGGCAGCCCCTCCACACTCACTCAGCTTTGCTGGGCTTGGGGCTCTGGGCCTCTGCCGCGTCGTATTCCCGCACGTCCTTCAGTTCACGTACCTGGCCCGTCAGCACCTTGGCAGCAAAGGCCACGATGTACTGGGTGGGGGGAGGGAGCACGGGTGAGAAAAAGGCACTTCCCTCCCTCTGCTACCCTCCCAATGGCCGGCCTTGTGCTTCTGCCACCGGCCCTTTGCACGTGTTGTCCTGGGGGCTGAATATGCCCCTCCCTGGGCGTGCCTGAGAAGGGCCTGCGCCTAGACCACTGCCTGGGGACTGCCTGCTGGGTGGGCAAGGAGCTGTGGGCTGCCGACTCACCAGGAACCAGTAGAGGTTCATGAGAGTGAGCAACAGAAGGAGTGCGTTGAAGAAGAAGTAGAAGGGGATGTCAGGCACCGAGCGCAGGCTGCTGTGGCACGTGGCGTACAGAACCTTGAGCGGGAACCAGTAGAGGCGGAACCAGAACCTGCAGTGGGGAGGGGGGCTTGGGGAAGCTGTTGGGGGGGTGGCTTGCCCCACCCAGGCCCTATGCTATTCCATCTTGACTCATCCATCTGTCCCTGCATAGCCCCACCCATCCCGGTCCCTCTGTCCCCTCCTTGCCCACCCCTGCCCATCTGTCTCCATCCCAGCTCTGTCCTTTCCTGCCCAACCCTGCTTCTGCCTGGCTTCTGCCCCACCTCTGGCTAGCCTGTCTGCCAGGCCCTGCCCACTTCACCAGGCCCCACCCCCTTCCTGCCTGGCCCCACCCATTCCCTCAAGCCCTCCCTCCCTCCCTGAAAGCTCCACCCCTTCTCACCAGCCCCACCTCCTACCCTGCCCACTTCACCAGGCCCCACCCACTTCCTGCTTGGTCCCACCCCTTCTCACCAGCCCACTCACCAGCTGAGGCTGAAGCTGAGGCAGCCCAGATCAGCCGCCAGGGCGTGGAGCCGGTGGTGGGAGCCTCCGCGGGACTTGAAGTAGACATTGAGCTTGGTGAATTCCAGCTGCACGTCACTAATGTCATGCAGGAAGAGCACGAGGATGCCCACGTTGTGATACCTGGGGAGGAGGTGGGATAGGAGAGGAGAGAGGGTAGGTCACACTGGGGACCGTTACCCTGCACCAAGTCTGCACCCCAAGCCTCCTGCAGGGCCCTTCAAAGCTGTGGTTCCTTGCCCACGTGACCTGCCCATTTCCCCACAGGGCCAGATCAGGGGCAGCACCCAAGCTGTGCCTGCCCCTTGGTGGCCCCACCCGCACCCTTACCCTCGCTGCCTCACTGTCCCCAGGTGACCCAGGAGCCTCCCTGGAGGCTCCTTGTCTGCCCCATCTCGCCTCTGTGACCCCTGACCCTTGGTGGCCAGGGCCATTTTGCATCCAGATCCTCCGCAAGTTTGTCCCTCACCTCCAACATTATTGCCACACTGACCCTCCTAGGTCTGTTCATTTAACCTGAACATTGCTGCAATCTGCAGACCTGTCTAGGGAAGACCGAGTCCCCAACAGGCTCTAAAGAAGCCTGAAGGCTGTCCCCCTGTCCCACCTCAGCATCCCACCTGACAGCTGCTTGGGCCACTGGACCTGAATTCAGCCTGATGGCTGGGCGTCTATCTCACTCCACCCTTCTGACAGTTCATGTGCCACAGACCCTTTGCACATGCTGATCCCAACACCTAACACGCACCTCCCAGTGTTCATGCAGTCTTTCTTCACCTTTCAGACTTTGCTCACCTGTCACCCAACCACCCACACCTCACCACCCCCAGGTCCTTATTTTCCGACTTTTCTCCATAGTTACCACCTTCAAACAAACTGTTAGTTCTTTTCTTGTCTGTTTGTTTGGGTTTTATCACCTGATTCTACTCTAGAGCAATAGAGTTCTATCTCATAGAACTTTCTAGAACGATAGAAATGTTCTAAACCTGCATTATCCTGTATGAGAGCCAGCAGCCACATGGGTCCACTGAGCAGCTGCCATGTGGCTAGTGTGGCTACAGAATGGAATATGCAACTTTATTTCAGTTTAATTCCAGCTGACGTGGGCATGGGTGGCCAGCAGCTGCCGCACTAGACTCATGGGGCAGCCCGTCCAAGAGGGACAGCACATGAGCCGTGAATGTTATTTCAGATTCCCTATCAGCCACATTTGTCTGTTGGTTTTTTTTTTTTTTTAAAGATTTTATTTATCTGACAGAGATCACAAGTAGACAGAGAGGCAGGCAGAGAGAGAGGGGGAAGCAGGCTCCCTGCTGAGTGGAGAGCCTGATGTGGGGCTCGATTCCAGGACCCTGAGATGACTACCCAAGCCGAAAGCAGAGGCTTTAACCCACTGAGCCACCCAGGCGCCCCTATTAGCCACATTTAAAACAAGAGGTAAAGAAGAGGTACAATTAATTCTAACGCTACATTCTAACTAACTCAGTAAGTCTGAAACATTGTCATCTTCACGCGCAACTGATACAACAAAAGGATTGGCAAGAGAGATTCACTCTCCACTGCCTTTGAAACAAAGGGGAGATCTTACATGTAGGACAGGTTGAGGTGCTGATGGGCTGCGCCGGAGGCCCTCAGGGGCCACGTGTGGTGGCTGCAGTGGGCTCCAGAACGCCAAGGTGGGTCTGCTGCACTCCTAGCCACACCCCCCGCGGCAGCCAGGCACAGCGGGTGGCCCAGGAAACACTTCATTTTTGGTTTTTTTTTTTTTTTTTAAGATTTTATTTATTCATTTGACAGAAATCACAAGTAGGCAGAGAGGCAGGTAGAGAGAGAAGAGGAAGCAGGCTCCCTGCAGAGCAGAGAGCCTGATTCGGGCTCGATCCCAGGACCCTGGGATCATGACCTGAGCCAAAAGCAGAGGCTTTAACCCACTGAGCCACCCAGGCGCCCCCCAGGAAACACTTCTAAGTGTCCTGCCCGAGGCTGCCACAGGTTGGAGGGGCCGGAGGGAGATGGGCAGTGTACGAACGGGCTGGGGGTTTCTCTGCACCTGATACCCCACCCCCCGGCACCGTCCCTCTAGCAGTCTCTTTCCAGAACCCAGCCCCGTGGATACCCGCTGTGGCCCCCACCAGCCTCCCCTCTCTGCTCATGCTGGGCCCTTTGCCCTCCTGCCCGCTGCTGGACTCACCGGAAGGCATAGGAGGAGACGATGAGGACCAGGGTGACCACATGGTGGATAAGCATGACCACCGAGTCCTTGCGCCAGGCATCCATGTACAGTGTGGCATAGATGGAGTGGCCGTAAAAGCTTCCTTGCAGCAGGTAGGCGGCTGCGATGTCCCGGGGCACCACCATGCCTGGCGTCCAGTCTGGGGAGAGCAGGCGCGTGTGGTTAGGGGCCTCCAGGACCCCCTCCAGCTGGGGTGTGCCACCCCCTTCCGCAGGCGCCCTGGCTACTGCTTTTCTGCTCCCAGTCTCTACCCATGATTTTTTTTTTTTTTTAAAGATTTTATTTATTTGACAGAGATCACAAGGAGGCAGAGAGGCAGGCAGAGAGAGAGGAGAGAGCAGGCTCCCCACTGAGCAGAGAGCCCGATGCGGGCCTTGATCCCAGGACCCTGGGATCATGACCTGAGCTGAAGGCAGAGGCTTTAACCCACTGAGCCACCCAGGCGCCCCTCTACCCATGATTTTTTTACAAATGGGTGTTCTTTTGGGGGGAACGGTTCTAGATTTATAGGAAAAGGTGCTCCTACCCCTGAAATCTGTCCTTTGCAGGATTTCCAACTCTGGGTTGGTTACCCCGGCCAGTGCCGTTCGGGATGGGCTGGCCCACCTCGTGGTGTGTGGCTGCCCCCCCGCCCCCGCCGTCGCTCCTGCCCCTGGCTTCTCCTGGCACCTGTGCCCACCTACTCAGGCTTCACCCCCTTCTGGTGACCCTGACTTCCAGCTCTCCCCATTTCCTGTCTCAGGACCATTACCAAGAGGGCTCTGGCTATACTGACCCAGACTTCTCTGGCCACTCCCCAAAAACGGCCACCCTGGGCTCCCTCTGGGGCCTCCCGCCTCCAGCCTCAGGGAGCCTCCAGCCTCAGAGACCCGGAGCCCCCTGGAGGCTGGCCATCCCCTAAACCACGCCCCCTGCCCACCAGTGCCTCACCTGAGCAACAGTTCTTCGTCTGTGCCTTGACCTCATGCCTTGACCCCGTGTGGGTCCAGGCCTCTGCTTGCTTCCCTGCCCTCGCCACCCTGCCCCTGTTCCCGACACCACTGTCTCCTGCTCAGCTCGGCCCCAGCTCCCCCTGCCCTGCCAGCCTTCCAGAGCCTGTCTCCGACCGTCCACCCTCCCCATGGCCGCCATGAACACACGAGCCCCAAGCTCTGGCAAGTCCACTCTTAGCGAGGTACCCGAGGGAGCTGAAGCCAGGGCTCCTTGCACACACACGTGCACACCAGCACTGCTGGCCGCCACCAAACGGTGGCAGCAACCCAAGCACCCGCCAATGCGTGAGTGGGTGAGCAGAACGCGGGCCCCCACAAAACGGAAGGCTGCCCGGCCGTGCAAAGTGGCGAGTCACTGACTCCCACTATGAGCCTCAAAAACCAGATGCCGAGTGAGAGAAGCCAGACACAAAAGGTCACATGCTGCCTGATCCCATGTCTAGGAAATGTCCAGAACTGGCAAATCCAGAGACAGAAAGCAGATCCGTGGTGGCCAGGGGGAGGGAGACAGGGTCTCCTTCTGGGAGGAGGGAGGCACAACACGGGGAATGGGCTACGTGCCCCTGAACCATCCACTTGAACATGGCGAATATTTAAAAACTATGATACGCTGACCCCCAGCCATGTTTACGTCTGGCGGCACCACTGTGCTTGCCCCATGGCACGGCGATCTCCAGAACACTCCTCGAGGTGCACACTCGAACCTCTGCGCCCATGAAACACCGGCTACCCGGGCCCTCCCCGGACCCGTCTCCCAGATCCACGCATCTGGCTACTGCAGGGACCTCAGACAAGCAGGCAGTACTGACGACTGGCAAATTATGGTTGACTTTATGGCATGTATATTTCACCTAATTTAAAAAAATGCAACTCCCCTCCCCCCGCCGCCCGACCAATGGATTAGCTCTCCTCCCACCACTTTATCAGGTCCAGGGGCTCCTCCAAGTTTGACAACAAAATGCACACTTCCGGGAGGACCCTCCCTCTGAGCTCTGCGGGACTGGCCGCGGCCGGTGGAGGCTCCTACACACACACCTGCCGTGCACTTCTGTCCCCCTCGAGAAGGAAGGGACACAGAGGCACCTCAGCATCCAGAGCCAGCCTGCTGTGGAAACAGGACACCGAATTTTCCACCCATCGCAGTGGCAAGACTTTTACCACTGGGCGAGCGCCCCCTTCCAGCCTCGAGCCCCGGATGTGGGGCGGGGTAGGGAGAGTGCGGCCCCCATGGGATCCCCCATCTAGACTCTGTCTGCACCTCCCTGCACTCGTGGGCCACGGAACCCCAGCTTGCCTTCAAAACCTTCAAAACATTTCTCAAACCAACCACTTCTCTCTCATTCTGGGCCCCGTCCTGGGCAGAGCCCCCTTGTGCCCTCAGCGTCCTATTCAACTGGGCCTGTCAGTATCTACCCCCCTCCTCACAGTCCTCCGGGAGACACCCCGTCCTGGGGGGCTGCTCTCTGCCTCTGAGCATCTGCCAGGAGTGGGTCTGTCCCACAGTGGCCTTTGCATTTCCTCTCTGCTTCAGGCCCCCCCAGATCCCCCATGGAAAGGTCACTTTTGGTGGGGCCATCCCCATCTCTAGAATATTCCCGGGCCTTGCCTGGAATTTTCTCATCAGCTGTTAACAGATTTCGTACTTCACTGTCACCACAAGCCATCAAGGTGGAGGGCTTTCTCTGGAGCACTCAAAGCTGTGTCTGCATAGTGCCTGGTACACAGTCGGTGCCCAGTAAGTGCACATGCAAAGCAGCAGCTCACCTGCAAGCATGTTATCACAGCATAATTTAAAAGAAAAAGCGAGAGGCAACACCATGCCTGAAACTGACAAGGACCCACGATGGTTCATTCACACAAAGGGAAATCGAATGACAGCTAAAACCTGCCTCCAGGGATTTATAACAAGGGCAATACACGTGGGAGAGTGGCCATGTGGGAAATGCAGTCCCACGGAGACAGACAGGTGCCCAGCAAATGCGGTGCTCATCACTGGGATACTGAAACACCAAAGTTGTGTGCCAAGCCCTCAGATGGGGGCGTGGGGCTTGGTGCCACCAGGCGGCTTCAGAAACTGTTTACGTCCCATGGCAGGAAACACATCCACGTGGTCAGCATAGGAATAGAGAAATCTGGATGCCCCCATCACAGATCGGGTTTTCTAGAACAGCCTGCCTGCCGGTGATAAAGGACACTGCAGTCACCTTCCTGCCTATCCCACCAAGCTCAGGCCTTGACCACCCCCACATCTAATCCAATCGATGGATGCAGCCATCCCTCATCATCTTTATCTCTTCACCAAGCTGGTCCAAGCCACATTAGTCCCTCACCTCCCCACTGGGCCACTTTCTTCCTTATCCAAGACTCTCCTGCCTCCACATGGCAGCCAGAGGAAGCTTTTTATGAGCCACAAACCCATCCCATTTAGAATGAAACTCAAACTCCTCCTATCCTCCTCACACACCAAGCTCGTGCTGGCCCCAGGGCCTTTGCACACATGGTTCCAGACACCTGGAATGCCTACCTGGGTCCATACAAGGGGTTACCTCATTCAGGACACCTCCCTGAGCCCTAACAGTACCAGGTCCTAAATAGGACCCTTTCCTGTCCCCAGAACCTTTCAGGCACCCTTGTCTTGGAGCTACCTTGCGGCGGGAGTGGGGGGGCTGTCTTGAGGCAGACATCCAGCATGAGACGTGTGATGAGTGTCCAGCTCCCCCATGTAGAGAACCTTCCCCCACCCTGCTCTGTCCGGCAGGGCCCCTACCGTAGAAGACAGAGGGTGGGTCGTGAAAGAAGGGGTAGTCGGTGCCGAAGAGCAGGTAGGCACTGTAGCTCCAGGCGCCCAGATAGAAGAGAAACTTCCAGGCGCTCTCAGGCATCTTGGCGGCATCTCTAGGCTGGAGGCGACACCGCTTGGCCAGGGGCTATGGGTGAGAAGGTGGGTGGCCGTCAGTGCTGGGGGCCAAGGGCCAGGGACCACTCCTCCAGGGCGGAGAAAGCCAGGCTCAGGGGCTCTCCAGGCTGGGTGGTGTTGGGGAGGGCCAGGCCCCAGTACCCACTGCCGCCTGGAGCGTAACCAGAGCCCACGTGTGCCAGCCAAAGGCTAAACTTAGTGCCCAGCTGTCCGAAGCAGTGTGGGGAGGGGAGTGGGGGGAGACCTGAGGAAATGTAAGGGAAGGCTGTGGCAGGGAGAAGGGGAACATGTGAGTATGGTGCAAGGAAGACCAATGGGGCCAGCCCAGGGGAGTTGGGGGACCTGGGGTTCCCAGAGGGAGCTGGAGCTACGCCAGGGAGGAAGGGAGATTAAAGAGAAGATATGGAGGGGCCTGTAGGGGTGAAGCTGTGAAGAGAGCATGGAGGTGAGTATGGGGGCATCTGAGAGAAAGTGGGGAGGATGGAACCCCAAGGGATTCCCATGGGAGAGAAACCTGAGGGAAGGGGTACCTCAGAGGGAGAATCTGGGGGTAGGCTAGAGAAAAAAAGAAGTTGGGGAAGATGGGGTGGGTAGTTGGGGGAGAGCATGAGAATGTGGGGGGACAAAGGAGGAGAGAATGGGGCAGAGAGAGCGCAGGGCAGGGAAAGGATGTACAATGAGACGGGGACATGAACTGAGCCACCTAAGGACAACCAGGGAAGCCTGGAAGGAAGAAAGGTCATGCAGCAGTGAGGTATGGAGGAGTCTGAGGGGCGCAACTCCCCCCCTCCACCGAGTCCAGGAGCCCCCCCCCCCGGGGGGCGGGGCTCCAGAGCTGCTGGGTCAAGCCCGCCCCTTTCCCCGCCCCCTTCCCTGGAGGAGAGGCTCGAGGGGGCCGGAGCACCAACAGTTGCCATGGAGACAGGCAGAGCCAGTTTCAGTCACCCCTGGCAACCAGGCGGCTGCCAAGAAGATGAGCTTTGGAGGAAAGGGCAGCCCCTCCACCCCTTTCTTGGGAAGGGCAAGCCTGGAACTGCTCTGCCCCACCCGGACTGGCGGGACTGGCCACAGCTGTGGGGATTCCAAAAGGGAGGGTGCACACGCTCTTGCTGTCCCCCACACCCTCCACCAGGCTCCCTCATTGTGAAGCCTCCTCCTCAGGGAAAGAACCCACTCCACTTTGGTTCTCCCAGAGCGACCACATCCCCTCCTTGAGGTCCTGACCCTCAACCTCCTGGACCTCCCACTTACCAGCTGGAAACTGGGAAAGCAAGGGGACCAACAACGTCAGGTGGGAACGAAGGCTGACCTGTGCAGGGGCCCTCGTACCTGCCTCCTCCTCCCTGAAGAAGGGTGGTGGCTGGGGTCCCTTCCCCATGCGGGTGATAGGGGATGATGGTGGGGACAGTGGCGGCCGGACAACACCCTATCCTTGACTTAACAAGGGCTAGCCTCTTCCCAGCCAGCAGAGAAAGGCCCCTTTGTTGGCGCCGGGCTCTCTGTCCCCGCAGCCCCTGCCACCTCCAGCCAGATTGGGGCGGGGTGACCCCAGTCAGTCCAGGAGGGAGTCGCAGCCAAGCTAGGGGCCCAAACGCCTTCCCACCAGCTCCCATAGCAGCGACCCCTCCCTAAGGATGGGAGGGAGGCCAGGCGCCAATGTCATCCACAGGGTCACTCTCCAGTTGGGGCCGTAGCCTCCCCAGACTTGCTAGAAACTGGGCAATTAGGACGCAGCCCCTTAAAGGCAGCTCGGTCCAGCTCTGAAGGCCCGGGCCGCACCACCTCCTAAGATTGCGACCACCGGCGCCGCCCGGGAGTCCAGGCCTTGGCCTCCCCAGGTCGGAGGGTGGCGCTGACTCCAGACATGCGCGAGACAGCAACCGGGTAGCTCCTGCCTCTTCCCGGGAGCAGCGGACAAGTCCGCTTTGCGGCCGCGTGGACCTCGGGCCCCGCTCCGGTTACGGGAGCGCCCCGCATGGCCCCAAGGCGCAAAGCGCCGGCGGCTTCTGTGCCCCGAGACCACCCCGCCCCGCGTCCTCCGCTCCTCCGCCCTCGGTTCGGCCCTGCCCGAAAGGGCGCGCGGCGGCCCGGGCCCTCCCACCGGCCGGGGCCCCCTTGTCCCGCACCGCCCGGCGTAAGTCGGCCCCGATTCCCCCACATCTCGAACGCCCCATCCGTGCAGGGGTCCCCATGTTCCGGCCTTCCTCCAGCTCGGCCACACCCCCGCATCCACCCCACCCCCACCGCCCTCAACCCGAAAGCTCCAGCCCGAGGCTCCCAGCGTTCCAGTGACCCCGCCTGGAGAGGCAGAAAGGGGTCCGCGAGGGCCCCGGGTCCGCGTCCCACGCCCCCCATAACAGCCCGGCTCCCCAGCCCGCGGCCCCGCGGCCCGGACCCCGGCGGCACTGACCCGAAAGAGGCGCGCGGTGGCCGCGGAGCGCAGCGCCGTCCAGCCGAGCGCGCCGAGCGCCAGCAGCAGCAGCTCGGGCGGCGCCAGGTGCGCGTGCTCGGCCAGGCCGCGGCGCGCCAGCCCCCAGCCGCAGTCCGCGCAGCCCCGCGCCGCCGCCAGCGCGCTGCCCCAGCTGCGCTGCACCAGCTGCGCGTAGCTCGGCATGGGCTCGGGCCCCGCCGGCCCCGCCGCTGTTCCCGCCGCCGCCATGCCTCCCGCTCGCTGGCCGCCGCCGCCGCCGCTTGCGCCCGCCTTCGGTGGCCGCTGGAGCCGCGCGCCCCGCGTCACGCGCCGCGGCTGGGCCGGGGGCGCGCCGGCCTGAGCTGGGGACGGGGAGGGGCGGGGCCGGCACAAGCTCCGCCCCTGTGGGGGCGCGGGCGGCGGGGACTTGGGGCCTGGGCGCGACGTCCGAGACCCTGAGGGCGCGCGGGCGCTCGGTCTCCTGGAGGCAGCGGCGGCTAGCACGGGCGATTAAGACCCGGCGCTGTCGCGACGTGTCCTGGAGACGGGCCCGCGCTCCTGCCCATTTTCCAGGAGAAAACCAAGGCGCGGAGCAGCGGGGGAGGGGGTCTGCCAGGTGCCCGCCTGGCCTGGACACCGTGTCCACAGCCCCCGTTCCCGCTCCGTAGCTCCCTTGCCCACCCGGGGCTCCCCCACGCCACCACTCTGGGACACGGTGAGCACCAACAGGCAGTGCCCTCCAGCGGTAACTCCCGTCTCTGGCCCTCCAACCTTCCCTGCCCTCAGGGCCACCTGCTGTTCTCCGTGACCCTGAGGACCTGGGAGGCCTCCCTCCCCGGCAGCAGGTTAACACAGGCCTGCGGGAGAGGCAGAGGGAGTGGACACCCACCCGCTGGGACTCAGAGGCTGGATCAAGACCCCTGGCTCCATTGGGACCACCCCTGGTGATACTCTACTATCCAGCCACCAGGCCCTGTGCCTGAAGCCCTCGACGGCCATAACCAAGGTTGGGAATATCACCTTCCCTCACAGACAGCCCCCCCCAGGACTCCCACATTCCTGTGTTCCTCCTCCCCTCCCAACAAGGTCCTCATCCCAAAGCCTTTAAGATGCAGAGTAAAAATCAGTGTGGGCCCCGCAGGAGTCCTGACCTAACCTTCAGGTGCATGGGGGGAAACAGGCAGGAGGACCGAGGAGGCAACATCTCTCCTCCTTCCCCTCAACCTTCATCCAGTCTGGCAATACAGTGTTGGTCCTACTTCGAATGTTCACTTATTCCTCCACTTCTCTGCACTTGCACAGCCTCCTGTGGCTCTGGGTCCCCCAGTGCCTCTTGCCTGGTATCCTGGTTTCCTCCTCAGCCTGGACAGAGGCTGGAGGGAGACTGCGACCCTTCCGCTGCTCACAGCACCCACGGCTCCCATTGTACAGAGTAAAAGGCCAACTCCTCACTAACTCATAACCTACTGTGATGCTTTTCTCTCCACCTTCTCCCCATATGCCACACTGGCCACCTCACTGTTCCTCTGGCACAGTCCTGCCTCAGGGCCTTTGCACTGGCTGTTCCCTCTGCCTGGAATGCAGTTCCCCCAGATACGAGCAGGGACCCTCCCTCACTTGCTTCACACTTTACCTACAAATGTCAGCTGCTCAGTGCACCCCTGACCTTCCCATCAATCTTCTTGGCTGTTGTCACCATCTGCACATGGTACCTCCCCCTCACTCTTGAACATGCACTCTGTGTGGGCTGGGGTCCATCTGGCCCATCAGACCAGGAAGTGAGAAGCCCAGCATATTGGGGTATGAGGCCCGCCTGACCTGGTCAAGCATTAAGGCTCAGCCACAGGCCAGAGACCTCACTAAAGCTGCAGCTTTCCCAGCAGGCAGAAGGGGCCTCGGGGATCCTCAACTAGCTAACTGCCTGCACCCCCAGAGGTCTGACTGGGCCTGTGGTGCAGACCTGGGCCTTCCAGCTCCCCCACCTCCTCCACCCTCCCACCCAGCACTATCTGTCCCTATCTAGTCACCATGGTAGCCATCAGTAATGCGAGAGGAGCCCCCGCCCACCAGCCCAGCCCCAGCGCCTTGAGTTTCATCTTGGGGCGGCCAGCTGGGAGGCCACCAGCCCGTGGGTGCAGAGCAGAAATGGAATGTGGCTCCCCGTGCTGGCAGCTGGGACCTGACAAGGGGCTGCTAAGGTCCCAAGGCTGGCGCCCCTTCCCTGTTCCACCTGAGGGCAGGCCTCCTCTCTCCGGAGAGCTCATCTCCAGGCCCCCCATCCCCACCCCTGCCGGATGCCTCTGTCACCTCTCTCCGCTGAGCTCCTCAACAGGCAGGGAGGGGATGGGGTGGGTCCTGCCCCTGGGAATCCTGAGCTCTGCATCCTGTCCTGGCCACCAAGCACCAGGTCTCAGGCAGCCACCTCTGAGGTGGATGAGGCCAGACTCCTGCAACACAGGTCTTCCCTCCTTCCTGGGAGAGGCCCAAACACTGACCTAAGGACAAAGGGCACAAAGCCCTATCCAGCTCACCGAACCCAGCACAGCCGCAGGGGCTTTGCACGGGCTGTTCATGCTGCCTTGAATGAATGCTTGTCACGCCCATCCCTCGAACCTGGCCTTGCAGATCCTTCTAGTTGTTTGGATGGTGACCTCATCTAAGAGGCCCAGCCAACAGCTCTCCCTTGCTCGCCTACCACCGTCTCTTGACAAGAGACGCCAGCTGGTGCCCTGGCTTTCTCTTTCTCTCTCTTTTAAGATTTTATTTATTTATTTGACAGAGAGAGATACCACAAGTAGGCAGAGAATCAGGCAGAGAGAGAGGGGGAAGCAGACTCCCTGCTGAGCAGAAAGCCCAATAGGGGGCTCGATCCCGGGACCCTGAGATCATGACCCGAGCTGAAGGCAGAGGCTTAACCCACTGAGCCACCCAGGCGCCCCAACCCTGGCTTTCTCTTATGGAAGGGTGCTCGCCATGGGTTTCTCCCTCCAGGTAGACAGCGCAGCACTCTGGCCCTCCTGCGCCCACAGCCCGACAGCAGCAGGTCTCCATCTGGGCCAAGGACCGCCCACAGGGCAGCAGCGAGGAGCAGGGGACAATCTGGAGGGGCAGGGGGATGGAGAGCATTTGCACCCAGCGCACATACACTGCGCATGTGACTGAACTGAGGCCTGAGTGCTTCCTACCTCCCTGGCCACCTACAGGCCTCCCTGGGATACTGCCTTTGAGCTCTGATGCCCCTGGTGATGGTTGTCACCTCAGTTTTCCTGGGCGCCATGGGGGCTTGGGAGACACGGCTGTGCCACCCAGACCACCATACAGTGGTTGTCTGAGGGGTGGGAGTCTGCACATCTGCTGCTCACAGGCCCTGGTCTCCAGGGGAACCCCTCCCAGCAAAAGCCCTGGGAGGACAGTGCCCAGAACCCTCCCTTCTGAGCCTTGGTTCCCACATGTCCCTCCCAAAGTGGCCACAGCAGACACAGATCGGGGGTGGGGGGGGCTCCCATGGTGGATACATTTATTGACAAGAGCGGGGCTGGGCTGGGCTTCCAGCCTCTGCTTCTGGCCAGAACAGGTGAGAGCTTGAGGAGGGGCGCCCAGCAGGGAGGGCGGCACACGCTGCTGTCCCCTGCCTCGGGAACCGGTCTCATGCACTGGGAGCGTACTGTAGCACCAGCCGGTCAAAGTCGTTCTCCTTCAACATGGTGGGGGAAGGGGGAGAAACGGAGAGAACAAGAGTCAGGAACCCAGTCACCTGCCTTCCCTGGCCCTGCCTGGGGTGTCTGGGGACCTGGGACAGACAGTCTGCCTAGGCTCACCTTGGCCTGGTACTCCTTGATGAAAGGGTGGGACCGGTGTGCGTCCTTCAGCTGGGACAGGTAGCGGTTTGTCACCTACAGGGGACAGGAGGCCAGGTGAGCTGAACGGGGGCGGGGGGGGAGCCAGGTGCTGCTCACATACAGGGCAAGGGGAGGGGTGGGAGGGTGGGGGAGCTTCCCAGCTGACCCCAAGCAAGAGCTTCCATCTCCCATCACCTCCATCACTCCACCCGGAAATCTGGCTGATGATGGGACCCTCAGGGTTGGGGCAGAAAGAAGAGACAGGTGGCACAGAGCCTCTGCTCAGCACACAGTGGAAGGATGTGCCGCGGGGCTCAGTGAGTGGGTTGGGAGGGACCCAGGCCCAAGGAGGGGGCGGACGGCAGGTCAGGGGGAACAGGGCTGGGAGGGGAGGTGGGTTTATTCAGGGCACACTGTGCAGAGAATCCCCAGAGATCTTGGTGCTGGAACCTGGACCCCAGACAGAGCCCTTGCTGCCAGCCTCGCCCCTCCTCCTCAGGCCCACACTGACTATATGGGGCAGGGGCAGCTGTCTCCCCAAGCCTAAGGGTCCAGTGCCATCTCCGGAGTGAGTGGGAGAGTTGCTCTATCTGCTATATTACGCTAGCCCCGAGGCCACCTGGTGGCCCTGCTACGGGGATGGGTGCCAGACAGCCAGGAAGCCCTGGGGTGGGTCCCTGGCCAAGTGGGCCAGTCAGCCACCTAAACAGCCGGGCCCCAGAGTTCTCCCTCCCTCCCGCCCTCAGACAACATGGGCTCACAGGGATGGCTCCCCTGGGCCCCTCTTCTCTGTTCTTTTGCCCAGCGACCTCCCAGAGGTGGCACAGGTGGGGGGCCCGGCTCAGCTGGCCCTGGCTTGGGCACGCTCTGAGACACGGCCCACTAGTTCACACAGCCCATGGGAGCAGCCGACCTACAGCCTCAGCACCCGCAACACCAACTTCATAGCGACCCTCGTGCTGATGGCAACCGCACCTGCCCCCCCCAGCCCCGCCAAAGAAGTGGCTTTCTGCCGGAGACCCTGAGCTTCGTCCAGGGCTGGGGCCACACCGCAGAGACCTGCCCACCACAAGCTGCTGCCGTGGAGGCCAGAAAACCACCCTGAGCCAGGGGGCCCTACCTCGGGGGGCTTGCCCAGGTGCTGCGACAGGACGACGAGGTTGATCAGTGTCTCTGGGTGGCCACTGTCCTGGAAACACAGGAGACGCCAGGCGAGCAGGGTCAGCTCCCCCAGGCCCCCAACTCGGCCTGTCCACCCCCATCTCTGGTGGGAAACCGGCTCCCGTTGACCCAGGGTAAAGACAGGACCCATGCAAGGTCACACCCTCAGAGCTGGGGCAGGGGGCAGGGCCGGGGGACCCAAAGCATGCCCACTGGCCACTCCGCAAGGTCATGACCTCAGGGCCCCCTTTCTGCCTGGGAGGCAGCGTGGTGGCAAGGGGG